GATCTTCCCCTTGGATATGTGTGCCCTGGCTTTCAAATTGGGCATCAGCTGCTAACGTAGAGTAGGTGATGTAAGATGACTATTGCAGGATCTAATTTGGTCACCAGGATCAAAGGTTTTATTCTTTCAAACTTTTGGGCTTATACTAGAGCCCATCATGAGGGAACTTCTCTTTCTCCAGAATATGTGCACTGGGCTGTTCTACATGTTGTTCTTATATAGTTCCTGGTTGTGTGTGGCTTTTAGTTGTTAATTAGGATGGTAATAGCTGGATATTAAGTCATTAATTATTATTTCCTTCTTCCTCAGTGACCTAGGCTCCTAGGTTCCTGATGGGTTGGGAGAAATCAACACTTCTATTGACTTACAAGGAGCCCATTTTCAAGGCTTCAATAATGTCTCTGGCTGTTTTTGTCCCTACTTGGCCAACAATAGTAGTAGCTGTGAAATTGAATGCATGTCCTTTTTCATTGTAATGTGAGGCTACCAATGAGTTCAGATTTCCTCGTCTAACTGCTGGCTCATGTTCCCACAATCTGGTGGTTAACTTCCTCCCCATCTGTCCCACGTAGTTGCAGGGAAAAACCATGCAAATTACATTTAAAGTTTCTCTCACCTCCAAACAATCTTTGTAGTGCATGATTTGCCCTTGTATGATAGCCTTTGTGTGGTGGGCGATGCCCACTTGAAGATCATGAAAGTTCTACTGCTTCTGAAAGTTTTTGTAATATATGGCAGGGTGTGCCATGAAGTTAGTCTTCTACCTTCTTTCTTCCTTTCTCTCTCCAGCATATTACGCAGGAATCTTGTGATAAGCACTTCTGCCTAAATTGTTCATGCTCTCCAGTTGTTTTGCTTGCTGGGAACTAAGTGTGTTCTCATCCTGCCGTATGCTGTTCTGATGCAACTATTTTTATGTGACAGTGGATGGTTAGTGTTGAAGCTCAGAATGTGTGAGTGTTGGTAGACATGTGATATACTGTGGTTTCTAGGCTTCCATCTTCCCATCTGTTGATAAGCACGTCTAAAGATGGCAATTGTTTAGCTTACTCCATTGTGAACAGTATGTCCGGGAAGATGGATTCAGTAGGGCAGGGGTGTCAAACTCAAGGCCCGTGAGCCAGATCTGGCCCATGCAAGGGTGGGTTCTAAATTTTTTTACTACCAGTTCTGTGGGCGTGGCTTATTTTGTGGGCGTGGCTTGATGGTCATGTGACAATTATTTAGGATTTAGCAGAGGTACTGGTCTACCAGGCTTTTAACTGCTTGCAGAGCTGTACCGATCTACCCATTTATTTTTGCAGGCACTGATCTACTCATTTGTTTTCCTTTAACACTGATCAGCTGTAGGGCGGCCCTTTGAAGCCCCATGGCAAGAGTTTAAACAGTTTTTTTCCCTCTAGCCACCAGCTGGGACTCAGGAGGCAGCAATAGATTGGGGGTGGGACCAAATAAAAGGTAAGAATAATGTGGGAGGTGGCGGGGGGCAGAGGGGCGGGGGGGCAGAACTGGTTCGGTGACATCATATCGTCACCGCTACCGGCTTGGAAGAACCAGGCCAAACCGGGAGGAACCCACCACTGGGCCCATGGGATGCTTAGATCTGGCCCGCGGGGCCACCCTAGAAACAGCAAAGGGCCAGCCTGCGATGCCTCTGCCAGCGAAAACAGAGCTCGGGAGGGCTGCTGGCAGAGTGTTCGGGCCACCACAGGAGCCCCAACACAAGAGATGTCGAGCTGGCCATGCCCACCTTGGCCACACACACTCTGCCCCTCTGAGGTCAAACACAATCCTGATGTGGCCATCAATGAAATCGAGCTTGTCACCCCTGCAGTAGGGTATGAAATTCTCCCAGAGCATTTCTTTTGATGACAACATATGTGTCATTCACATAGTGGTGCCAAAATTTAGGTGTGTGGCTTTGAAATTCACAATGTTCTAGTTCACATAGGACTGTTTCTGCAATGACTCCTGATATTACTCTTGATGACTATTGTCCTTCAAGCAAACTTATACCAGTGGTGAAATCCAAATTTTTTCCCCACCAGTTCTGTGGACGTGGCTTGGTGGGCGTGGTGTGGCTTGGTGGGCGTGGCAGGGGAAGGATACTGCAAAATCTCCATTCCCACCCCACTCCAGGGGAAGGATTCTGCAAAATCCCCATCCCCCCCCCACTCCTGGGGTCAGGATATTGCAAAAACACCATTCCCACCCCACTCTGGGGCCAGCCAGAGGTGGTATTTGCAGGTTCTCCAAACTGCTCAAAATTTCTGCTACCGGTTCTCCAGAACCTGTCAGAACCTGCTGAATTTCACCCCTAACTTATACATGTTAAGTTCGCTGAAGAAGTCACTGAACAATATCGTTTTTGTGCCATTTTGTGGCAGGCCTCTTTTCTTTTTTTAAATATATTTTTATTATTTACATATAAATATATTGAATGCAGTGTGACTGTCCCGGCAATTCACTTGCCATAAAAACCAAAGTGAAGACAAATAACATACATGCTACTTAACCAGTGCTAGTGTTGTACAATTATTTTTGACCATTGTATTCATTCTAATACAACAATACATAATATCTCATTCCAGGTCCGCCTAGCCTAATTTTTTCGTATTCCGACTTCCACCTCGGGTTTCTAGCCATTGATAGGATCTATTCCATGTGTCATAATATTCTGTGTCTCCTTTGTCTTTTATTTTTAATGTTAGTCTGTCCATTTCTGCACAGACTAATATCTTCCTTATTATCTCCTCTTTTGAAGGGGCGTTCTCACTTTTCCACTGCTGTGCATACATTCTTCTTGCTGCGGTCAGGATGTGTAGTATTAGGTATATTGTTCCTTTATCATATTTATCTCTTATAATGCCTAATAGAAATAATTCTAGCTTGAACTCTATTCGTTGTCCAACCATTATCATGAGATTATTGTCATAATCTTGATTTTTTTTTTTTTTTGCAATCCAGTTTTGGCATTAAAAAATCAAGATTATCATAAAATGGCAATTGAAGAGTTATAGCTTTCTGCTTCTCTTTGCTGCCATTTAGTGGTAATCTGGATTTTTTCCCTTGAGGAAACTGGTAATGTTAACCAAAGCAGTGTTGCTCTGATAAATTTTTCCCCTCATCCAGTATATCCTAAACCAGTTTTCTATAAAGCAAGAACAGAAGATCAACTCACAATTACAGTACTATACACAGGATAGGATTTATGATGGTTTGTTTACATTGGCACTCATTCCAAAGAACTATAGAAGTTATTTGGCGAGCAGATTAGGCTTAAATATTAATGTCATCTACGGTCAAGGATAGCATTTCCCCAACCCAGTTAGAATAAATATTCAGTTTGAAAAAACCACTCTCTTTTGTGCTTCCGTTGCTGGAAAAATTATCAGAAGAAATATATTTACCTTTTTCAAACAAACATCAGTGCAATATACTTCGCAATGTTTAATTTATGCTGTACTACTTGCATTATTCACTTGGCTCCTTGATAGACCAGTTAGTTTGGAGATCCCTTCTTTATTTCTCTGCCCCTATGGTAAAAGTTCTTAATTAAGAAATAAAATGCCTGCAAAACCTAAAAATTATTTCTACGTTTAAGGAGTGAGCCTATCAAAACAAACTTAGCCTGCTTAAACAATCTTGTATTTTTTTTAATATTAAACTGCCTTAATTTGTTTCACATGAATGGAAATAGGCCTGATACATAAAAGCCTATCATCTTGAATCTCATAATAGAAATTGAAAATAGGTTTCCTAAAACCGTAGAAATGTGATTTATCAATTTGTGCTCAGGGTGTTTTTAATCAACACAGAAAAATGACTTAAGGCCTTTGAAATCCTCGTGCGTGTATTTCTCATTAAACAGATATTCTGTTCAGTACATTGTTGTTTTGGCATATATGAATGCAAAATGTGCACACATATCCATTGTCTTTTTCCACAGCTATGGCCTTTGATTGTAAGGAAAGAGGATTTTCAGAAGCAAATAGATACTAAAAAGTTTTGAAATTATTCCTGTAGCTGTAGAGATGTAGGTAGTTCAGGGACAAAGGGCCTTTCGGTGCAGATGACAATTTGATGCCACAAAGCTGAAATCTAGTTTCATATAAACTCAGTTAGGGATATTCCCACTGAAAACTTCAGAATATTTTGCAACATTGCACACTTGATAAAGAGTACATGATGATTGCATTTTTAAATTGTTCCAAGATGAATCGAATCGAATCGAATGGAACGGAGCAGAATTAAAACAGAAACTAATAGAGTAGAGTAGAGTAGAGTAGAGTGGAGTGGAGTGGAGTGGAGTGGAATGGAACGGAACGGAATGGAATGGAACAGAATGGAATAGAATACTTTATTTGTGATAAGACACACAAGGAATTTGCATTCTCTCTATATAGGATATGGATCATTCACGACATCCTATACAGAGAGTCCAGCTGTATTTTTTCTCTGAAGCTATTCCACAGCTTCAATGTTATCTGGACATTTCACAAACATGTATAATATTAACATGCAGTAAATGAATGCAAATGATAGAAAAATGATAGGGGAGTTAAAACATGGATTTTAATTTGAAATAGATATTTTCAGCTGGCACTGAAGAATTATAAAAAATGATCCTAAACAAACCTCTCTTGAAAGAGTGATTTACTTAATGTTTACCTTCCTCACTTTATTTCAAAGGCATATAGAACAGGATAATCTTGCTGAACAGCAGGTAATGCAAAAACAGCTTGAACATGGAACTCAATAATAGATGCTATAAGAAGCTACCTTGCAAACCTTGCTCTACACAGCATATTAATAAATTTATGACTATTTTCGATGAAATGAAATAGATTTATATATAGCGCTATATTGTGTAGAATATTATAGAATATAAGAACAGTCCAATAGGCTACCTTTGCTTCTATGACATTCCTCCTCAATGTCTTCTCATAAAGAATGCTCAGATTGGTTAGGGGGCCATGGCAGGGGTGGGTTCCACTTACCTTTACTACCGGTTCTCAACTGGAGTGCGGTTGCACTTCTGCTCATGCACAGATCGTCAGTGATGACATTGGGCGGGTGGGCGAAGCCTCCCGACGCCATTACTACCGCTTCACAAAAACCGGATCAAACCGGGAGCAACCCACCACTCGGCCATGGACACAAATGGTGCTTCAGTGACTTTAACCTTGGAAATATGAGATTTCCAAGCAAGGAAATTTCCAAGAAAGCAAGGAAGTTGGCCTCTTAAGATCTTCAGGGAGCTAATGTGTCTCACTACAAAGCCAACTTCTCTTATTTCTCACCATGAAGATTCCTTGAATTCAGGAGTTGGCTGGATTTTGCATGGCTTGCAAGCCACACCTGTTGTTTTTCAAGATTGGGGAATGCAGACAAATAAGCCCCAGGCATCTCAAGCCAAATTTGTGCCAACCCTAAATAATAAAGTTACCATATGTTTGTTTGCTTCCTGCTTGTAGAAATTGAAAGCTCCAGCAAAGCCTCTTAAATATGTAGCGAGGACTGTCTCTCTTGAAAGTAGGGAATTGCAATCAACAAAGGTAGCATTTTGGAGATGATGGGAAGGACCCTACCTATCAACTAATCAGATGGAACAGAAGTTTTGTTGTTTTCTCTGAGCTGAAAAATAGAAAAACTAGACAAGCCAAAGCAGTTGAAATATTATAGCATGAGTCATAAAGCAATCTCCATGCCTATCACATAGTATAGCACGTACAATTATTAGAACCTGCTGTTACAGATGTCATAACTAGCAAAAAGGACTCTAAGAATATCTGAAGGCAGCAGCTCTTCTTAAGAGAGAACAATATGAGCAAACATAAACCGCCTTTGTTAATATGGTATCACAGTTTCACAAATCTACCTCCCATGTGTGAAGAAATCTTAATAGTTAGTTTTGTCATCAGTTAGCCAAACTTCCAAATCCAGCTACAGCAATGAGAAGTCATACTTTTTGACTTGATCCTAATGCCATTCAATAATGTTTTCGATGAAGGTGTTTTAACACGGTTGGAAAAATATACATTTGAGTCTGGAAGGTTCTGAAAGAAGTCTTCAGAAGGCAGGATATAAGCAAAACATACAGATATTAGAAACAGCCTCTCTTTTAGTGATGGCAACCAAAATTAATACATTCCAGAAATACAGCAGTACTAAATCACCACTAGGCATTGATTTCATTCACACAGCAAAATTTGTTACATATAGCAACCTACAAGCAAAGAAATAATCTTCTTAAGTGTTTGAGTGGACTGGTTGATGACATACACTGCATCCAACCTGTTAGCCTTAATTAAATCTCATTATTTAGATATATATTTTTGTGTGAGTTTAATGCATTCTGTTTTCTGAATGGAAAGCACATGTTTAGTCTTAGTTAGCTGTGTTTCATTGTTTGACTTTATTCTATGATCTAGAATATGGTAAATCAAAGAGTACATCAGATTAGATAAACATACATATATACAACACAACAAACTTACAATAAATAAAATAATCCATCATTCATTGTTTGGATGTAATTGTTAGGGCTTAGGAGAGATTGTTCCCATAATGACAAATGATGCTTCCCTCTGAGTTACTAATACTTTGTTCTATTATTTTGGGTTTTTTGGATCCGTGTTTTAGAATCAGAAAGACAGAATGTATATGGGGAGGGTGGGCAGAAAGATTGGGAAAAAGGCAAAAATAAATAATGTTCACACGTGGGTCTATGTTCTAACCGTAGAAAAGAAACCTATTTCAAGAAATATATACAAATATGATGTACAAATATGATGTACAATATATATACACACATACATACACACATGTGTGTGTGTATATATTGTATATCATATTTGTATATCATATTTGTATATATTTCTTTTCCTTACTTTCTCTCTCTCTCTCTTTCTTTTTTGCACCTTTACACTTTCTCTTTATTCTTTTATTTTTTTTCGTTTGTATTAATCTTTACTGCTCTAATTAGAGTCTTTAATTAAATTGTTATTAAAAAGATCAGAAGAGTAGCATCACAAAAAAAAAACGAGCATTACAACCTGTTTTGTGAAAGATCTATTTACACTATGATCAAAGTTCTTTTTAAAAAGTATTCATCTTCACAACATCCTCTAATAACAGATCTGTGGGACACAGGGACTATTTCTTCCTCAGCAAGAATGCAAATAATAATATTTACTTTTTTTTCTTTTTGAGTCCAAAAGGCTCCAGTAAAGCCTATGAACATCTGCAATGGCAGTACCTACCTTGAGAATTGCAATCAAAAGGATTGTAGAAGTGGGAGAAAGAGAGAGTTCCCATTCTCCTGGGAGGCAGACGTTCAAAGATAAAGAAGCCCCTGATAATTTTCTCTCATTAAAGGTAAAGGTAAAGGTTCCCCTCGTACATATGTGCTAATCGTTCCTGACTCTAGGAGGCATCTCCATTTCAAAGCCAAAGAGCCAGCGCTGTCCGAAGACGTCTCTGTGGTCATGTGGCCGGCATAACTAAACGCCAAAGGTGCATGGAGCGCTGTTACCTTCCCACCAAAGGTGGTCCCTATTTTTCTTCTTGCATTTTTTTTTGCGTGCTTTCGAACTGCTAGGTTGTTAGAAGCTGGGACAAGTAACAGGAGCTCTCCCCATTAGGCGGCAATAGGGATTCGAACCGGTGAACTGCCGACCTTTCAATCAACAAGCTCAGCATCTTAGCCACTGAGCCACCGCATCCCTATATCTCATTAGAACCAGGCAAATATCTCTCCCTCAGCTGCACCCAGTTAGCGTAACAGCTACCAGAGGTGAGGGAATGTTAGTAAGAACCCAGTGGTGGGTTGCCCCCGGTTCGCACCAGTTCTATAGAACCGGTAGTAAAACCGGCAGGAGACTCCGCCCACCGACCCCGACGCCATCAGAATGCTCCTGCGCATGTGCAGAAGAGCGTGCGCGCAAGCAAAGCAAACGCGCGGCCCTATTGCGAACCAGTAGTAAAGGTAAGTAGAACTCACCTCTGGAAGAACCTCATGGAAACCTCTTATCATTTAAGATCGGGGTGTTCTTGCTGACTTCCATCACTCCTTCCAGCGCAGCCTGCAAGAATGGTTAGTAAAATTAATAATAGCCAATGTAAGTCAATCTCTACTCTAGTGGTTTGGCAAATATTTTGTTGGTGAGATTATTAGATAAGAGCACACCACTGCAAATTCACTTTCTGCCATCCCTAACATGCAGCGTACAGTAGTACATCATTGCAACAATGCGGCAAAGTTTATCAGTTTCATATCACAATCCTAATTCTCCCATTTTTAGAAGCTTTTAAAACACCATATTGTATGAAAGCATTGCTTCCAATGTTTTGCCTCAGTCCTTTGGCTGCTGTGTTCATTGCTTGTTTATCTTCTTGTCGGAGCCAGCTGCCTGGCCCTGTCTGATAATAAACTGAAGGATGGATTTTGTGCCGCTATCAAATTTTAGCTTCCTTGAAACACCATATATCAGCATCTGCCTGCTCTAGCTTCCTTGAGAGCCACAAAGAAAAGACATCTGTATGCAGATGACTCTGGTTTGGATAAATTATTGTTCGACTTGGAACCTGGCCATGTTTGCCTTTGAATATGTTGATTTTCAGACAAGAATGTGTTACTGAGAATATCCTTTGTCTTAGATGCACCTAAGGGAAGCTGTATTTTCTAAGTAGAACCTAGAACTTAGAATCATCATATGGTTGGAAGGAACCTCAGAGGTTTTCTAGTCCAACCTCCTGCCTAAGGCAGGAGACCTTATACCATCTTGTTCAAATGGTTGTCCAGTCTACTTTTAAAAACCGCCAGTGATGAAGCACTCACAACTTCTAGGCTGTATCTCTTTTTAGCAAGCTTCCACCCATTGCTTCTTGTCCTGCCCTCTGGTGCTTTGACAACAAGCAAATCCTCTTTTCTTTGTGACAGCCCCTCAAATACTGGAAGACAGTTATCATGTCCCCTTAATCCTTCTCTTCGATAGGCTGGATGCTATTCTCCCTCCCTAAATCATACGATTTAGCTGCCTGCCTCTTTATCATGTCTGAGTGCAGTGGTCAGCCAGTTGCAAATCTATCTGGTGGTAGTTCTGTCTATCCCACCTTGTTCTATCTTACCAAGAAATAGGCTGTGATCTACTTTGTCAAATGCCTTACTGGAGTCCAAGTATACTACGTACATAGCATTTTGCAGGTCCAGTAATTTAATCAATTTATCAAATAAGGCAACAAGGTTTGTCTGGTTTGATCTGTTCTTAACAAACCCAAGCTGGCTTCTAGAGATAGAGTAATAGAATAGAATAACAGAATTGGAAGGGACCTTGGAGGTCTTCTAGTCCAACCCCCTGCCCAGGCAGGAAACCCTACACCTCTTCAGACAAATGGTTATCCAACATCTTCTTAAAAATTTCCAGTGTTGGAGCATTCACAACTTCTGCAGACAAGTTGTTCCACTTATTAATTGTTCTAACCATCAGGAAATTTCTCCTTAGTTCTAAGTTGCTTCTCTCCTTGATTAGTTTCCACCCGTTGCTTCTTGTCCTGCCCTCTGGTGCTTTGGAGAATAGTTTGACTCCCTCTTCTTTGTGGCAACCCCTGAGATATTGGAACACTGCTATCATGTCTCCCCTAGTCCTTCTTTTCATTAAACTAGACATACCCAGTTCCTGCAACCGTTCTTCATATGTTTTAGGCCTCCAGTCCCCTAATCATCTTTGTTGCTCTTGTCTGCACTTTTTCTAGAGTCTCAACATCTTTTTTACATCGTGGCGACCAAAACTGAATGCAATATTCCAAGTGTGGCCTTACCAAGGCATTATAAAGTGGTATTAACACTTCGCGTGATCTTGATTCTATCCCTCTGTTTAGGCAGCCCAGAACTGTTGGCTTTTTTGGCAGCTGCTGCACATTAAATGATCACCTTCTAGGTTCTCACAGATCCTCCACTTGATTATTCTCTGATATTTCTTATAGTACAGGAGACTTGAAAGATTGCATTCAATGCAGGGGTGAAATCCAGTAGATTCTGACAAGTTCGGGAGATCCGGTAGCGGAAATTTTGAGTAGTTTGGAGAACTGGCAAATACCACCTCTGGCTGGCCCCAGAGTGGGGTGGGAATGGAGATTTTGCAATATCCTTCCCCTGCCACACCCACCAAGCCATGCCCACCAAGCCACACCCACAGAACCGATAGTAAAAAAAATTGGATTTCACCACTGATTCAATGGCTCTGATATGATGTCTGCCTGCTCCTTCAGAACCTTGGGATGTAAATCACCTGTTCCAAGTGATTTGTGCTTGTCCAGAGTGGATAACTATTCTCTTACTAAATCCTTACCTAGTTTGACTTCTATTTCTGTTCTATCTCCCTCAGTGCTGCTTTTGATAGCTTGGGCTATTTCTTCCTTTGTGTAAAAACAGATGCAAACAAGAAATTAAGCAGTTCTGCTTTCTCCTTGCTGCTCATTACCTTCTTGCCATCTGCTCCAGTGGTGGGTTCCAGCCGGTGTTACCATCGGTTCTCTTCACACACATGCTTTGCGCTCGGTGC